CCTGTTTTTCTTCATTTTCTGGTTTTCCTGTGTGCCTTGCTGTCACCTCCAGTCTTTCTGATTATGAACCTGTGCCTGTAGTTCTCCGGTCATTCTTTGAAGTATGGATTTAGCTCCTTTGTTTGCGTGCTTATGGTCTCAGGCTTTGATGCTTTTGGTGTTTGTTTAGGGCTTCTGGGCTTGAGTCAGTCAACGCCTCTGTTTGTTTTGCCGTCCTCTCCTGCTTAGCAACGTTACCTGATATCACTAGTTTAGCTTCTGTGCTTTTGTTCAGTATATTGACAAAAGGATTGGCTCAGCTGGCTTCACACGGATATCAGCTTGAGTGGCATTCCCATTCTTAATCCATCCATAGGTTTAATATGATGTCAGCCCCCCTCTTGCAGCGATAACAGCTGCAAATCTTCTAGGAAGTCTTTCCACAGGTACAGGATTGGTCACCCTGATGTTGGACGAGAAGGCCTGGCTAATTCATTCCAAAGGTCCATCCATCAACCTAGGCATCCATCCATCCATTCATCATCCCATATACCCATCATCCATCCATCCGTTCTGTCAGGACTCTGTGCTGGTGTGCAGTCATGTTGGAACAGGAAGAGGACATCCCCAAACTGTTCCCACAAATTTGGGAGCATGAAATTGTCCATAAAGTCTTCTTATGCTGAAGCATTGAGAGTTCCTTTCACTGGATCTGAGAGGCTGAGCCCAGCTACTGCAAAACACCCCCACACCATGGCACAGTGCGGTCAGACAAGTACTGTTGACTATTGAACCCAGACTTCTCCATCAGACTGAGTTTGCTTCTTAAATACCAGGTACATAATTGGCAGGAACCCTAAACCTGACCTCCAACAAGAAAACTCTGTCCTGCTCAGGGAGGGGTAGCCATCTATGTGTCATGTGATTTCACACATAACTGTAATTGAGTATCCTCTGCGTAGCAATCAGTATCAGGTTTTCTAGTAATAGTACCAAAGGGAAGCATCTACATTGTGGATTATACTTTCTGCACAGGCTGGCACGGTTTTAGAACATAGAAGTAAAAACTCAGATATGACTGAAGGAGGGATTTTTGAATCTCCTCTCCATGTGTTTAAGCCACCTGAATGTGTGACTGTACGATCACATCACAATGCCCAGTTATTGTGGAAAACTGTTATTCATGGACAGGTTGGGAGGACAGTGGTAAGGACTCTGCTTGCCTGTCTGGCTTCAGAGCTGAAAGGAAACCTGGGTTTGTTCCTGTTTTCCTCAGAGGACAGTAAGTTGTCCTAACTTTGCTTCTTTTTTGGAAAGTCTTAGACCTTAGAATACCATTTTGTTTCTAGCGTATGACTCATGTGGTTTAAGGGATGTGACTGTGAATTATTACAGGGATTCATGCATCTCTTTGTTGGGTCTTGTTGAGGTAGCTTCTCTCTCAGCCTTGAGTTTGTGAAGCAGAACGTCTAAGCTTCCTCTGGTCTTTCAGAGTGAGCAGCTCAGAGGTTCACACAGGTCGTTGGTCATGTTGGACATCTCGTTTTGGCTCTCAGCAAAGGCGGTCGCACTTTTTCTCCTCTCCTCCTCACCCTTATCTTCCCTGCTTAGCCTCTTGTGTCCTTGTCTTGTCTTGTGTGTGTTACTTTCCCTCGAACAGTCTCTCACTGTCGTTCTCTAAAACCTAAAAGAGAATTATGGATTTGATCAACTGGTCTCTGAATGTTATTGACACCCTTTTCTCAATGAGAAGTCTGGGCTTGGGAGAGCCTGAGTGCCCTGGAGGTACTTTCCCTGCCAGATACACGATGGACAGGTGGCAGGAATGGAGGGTTGTGTGCCTGGCGGGACTGTCGATCGAGGACGCTGAAGATATCTACCTATTTGGAACCATGATAACAGGGTTCTTGCTGATCGGAGCTGGCTTGGCCCTGGCTCTCACAACGAACGCAGCATGGGTAACACCTTGGAGATGCTTGCAGCTGCCGTGAAGACTCAAAACAACAACATTGAGCGTATGGGGGGATACATCAGAGAGAGGCCTGCTCAGAATGAGACCCTTGAGCGACAGTTGGAAAACATCGCGGAACGGATCACTGCAGTTGTGAGGTCTCAGAATCAAAAGAATGACAACACCATGGAACAGAAGTTTGATACCATCATGGGGAGGCTCGCGGCTCTCCGACGGGAGATTGAGAGGCCAGCATCAGAGTGTTAAAGAGCAGCTTGACGTTCTCCTGGGCTGCTCGCATGAAAAATCAACAAAATCAACATCGTAATGCAGACACCACCACGGCGCCAGCCGAACAATCACTCGCTGATAACGACTGTGTGATGACTATTCTTCCCATCCCATGCAAGGCCACCTGGGTTGGCTGGAGGACTGTTTACTTAGCCTGATAGGGTGAAGGACACTGTCTCAGCTGAACTATGGACACACACACACTTACACTGATAAGCACTCACTCATCCCCCCTCCCTTTCCAACGCCTTCGATGCTTGTTGCCTCCTGGGAACACGAGGCGGGTCTGGGCCCGCGCTAGAGACGGCGCCGTTGCAGGATGGCTGCTGTGTTGCCTGGGATTACTCCTCATCCCCTACCCAACCCTGTGGCTTGTCATGTCTTCACAATGTTGTGCTGTGGACATTCATGTGCTTTTTTGTGCAGAGGACTTTTTTTGTTTCCTGCTCTCGTGCTGTCCTACCATGGAAGCACAGCATGAGTGGAGGTCTCTTTTTTTCCTCTTGTACCTTCCCGTTGTTATGTACATTTCAGTGTTTTCAGTGCAACGCTACCGATCTCCGACTTGTAACCCCATGTGATGTCTGTGTTATGTGTGTAAGGTCGGGGGTGGTCCCATTTCACGGCAGGGCAACCTGCTTGTGACAAATAAAGCTTTGATTAGTTGATTGATTGATTGATGTGTAACTGCTCGGTGCTGTTATGAAGAATACTTAAGCCACCATGGCTCTGAACACAGCGCATGTAACAACTACCAGTCGGAGGGAAGTGTACAGATCAATGGCGCCCTCTGATGGAGGGAGCTGGGCAGACTGTTTGTCTCTTAGTGCCATCTTGCAGTGAAAATGTTTCAGCCCAATGATTTATTGATGCAAAAAATAACCTGATTTATAAAGTCTGTATCAGAGTTAAACTTTAAGCAGAGATTTGATGAAATATGAGTCATGGCACTGAGAATCCTGACTTTAACTCAAGGAAGAAGGTTTCCATCACGTCAGCGGGATCCACCGCCTTGTTCCAGTTTGATTATTGGTTCTTCTTTATGTCTTTCGTGATCCTCCCTGTCCAGCTAATGGTACCGCAGTTATGGAGCTTTATATGATGAGCTGCTCAGTGAAAGAAGCAAATGCAAAAAGGCCCTCAGATGTGCTGGGATGCCTCAGATTAAGTGTGATTGTCCTGATGCTCCTGTGGGAATTAAGGTCCCGTCAACATTTAAGGTGCTGATGGTAAAGGAGGCTTCTCTCTGGGGTCTGTAACATGCTGATCCATACACTGCTCAAATAGATGCACACAGCACAAATGCCCTGGGTTAACCCTGGGAAGAGTGAGGCGATCACAACGATGAAGGAAGCACAAATGTTAGTGAGCTTTCCCAGGATTCATTCCCAGCCTTCTGGATCTGGGATATGGATCGGCTCTGTTATCAAAATGCTCCAGAAAGCTCCGTCTCCTGCTGTGCTCATCATGTATGACCAAATACATCCTTCATCTCGTGGCCTTTGCGCTTTTTTTTTTTTAGTCCAATTATCTGCCGGCCTTATTCAGGCCAGTCAACGTTCACTCTGTCTCACAGACTCCTTTGTGCAACCCACCTCCTCCCATCATGGCCTCTCCCTGCTCACTCAGGCTCCATTCAAGCCTCCGTCTCTATCTCCACCAGCAGAGTCTAGACTCCAGGGGGTCAAACATGACTCTGTACATCAATAAATCATGTTCACCCTGTGGAACTCCATAATTAACCTCAGTGTGTGAAGAGGACTCTCCATTTACATGCACAAACTGGAGTCTATTAGATAGATATGATACAAACCACTGCAGCACAGTACCTGTAATACCTACAGCATGTTCTAATCGCTCTAATAGGATATTATGGTCGACAGTATCGAACGCTGCACTGAGGTCTAGCAGGACAAGCACAGAGATGAGTCCACTGTCAGAGGCCATAAGAAGATCATTTGTAACCTTCACTAAAGCTGTTTCTGTGCTGTGATGAGCTCTGAAACCTGACTGAAACTCTTCAATAAGCCTCTGCAGATGATCTGTTAGCTGTTTGACAACTACTCTTTCAAGGATGTTTGATATGAAAGGAAGGTTGGAGATTGGCCTATAATTAGCTAAGACTGCTGGGTCTAGAGATGCTTTTTGAGTAAAGGTTTAACTACAGCCAGCTTGAAGGCCTGTGGTACATAGCTGATTATTAGAGATAGGTTGATCATATTTATGATCGAAGAATTAATTAATGGCAGGACTTCTTTGAGCAGTTTTGTAGGAATGGGGTCTAAAAGACACGTTGATGGTTTGGAGGAAGTAATTATTGAAGTTAACTCAGAAAGATCAATTAGAGAAAAAGAGTCTAACTTAACATCAATGGTACTAAGAGTAGCTGTAGATAATATTACATCTGTGAGACTGTTCAGAAGGCAGCTTAGATATATTCATTGCCATGCAGATGCAGTCTTTCGATCCCTGAAGCCTCATAACAAACACTAATTAGTTAAACTGCAGTAATGTCTGTGAATGCTTAGGAATGTTTATTTAAATGCTTTAACTAATTATTTTATTTAACTTAGATCTGTACTTTTTAAGCTCTGTCATTTAATATTTTAAAATTTTTAATTTAAGTTCTTTCTTTTTGTAATTTCTAGCTTAGCAAGCTCCACCTCCTGTGGAAACTGTGGTCAAACATCCCAAAACCTCAGTCGGGTCACATGACATCTGAGCTGTCTGTGCTTCCTGAGCGCGCACACACACACACACACACACACACACAGCTGAAACAGTGCTCAGCTTCTCATTCTCGCCGTCACCATGCTGCTGATCCTGCTCTGCTTCCACACCTTCACCTGGGGTAAGGAGCCGCCGCCAACGGCACACTAACCACAGATGAAGCAACATCCTGTGTGTGATTTTGTCCTTTAATTATGTAAATTGATTATTTTTGCTCCTGAGTCACACTTTAAAGCTTACTTTCATTTCTTCAGCTGACGGTGACTCATTTAATGGTATAACAGAGTCAGCAGTAGGTTATTCCTGATAGGTCAGTTCAGCGCGTCTAACATGAGAAAATGTCCTTTTTCTGTTTGCTGCGACTGTTTCAGGTTAAAAAGGTGAAACAGTCGCAGCTGCTGGAGGGTTAAAGGTTCCTGTGAAACATGGAAGTGGGCTATAAATGTCCAAAGCTCCTGACATGACAGGAAAGGATCTGTGAGGCTTTCAAAGAGTTTATTTCAGGTTATAATCATCACTTCTGTGTTTGTTTAAATCAGCCTGTAAACATGTTTAACCTTCATTATTACTGATGCAATAAATGTTCATTCATCTGTTCACTGTAAACACTTTTGACTCTGACACTCTCAGGCAATAAATAACTGATCTGTCCAATCAGAAAACAGACATGAAAGTGAATAAATGACGTCACCACAAACATCAGGTTCACATCTGTTCAGTTTTTAAAAACGTGCCGTGTGCAGCAGACAGATGTTATTCCTCGTTTTTGAATCTTTGTCCCTCTGAGCTCAGGCGTCGTGGCGTCGATGGTTCCTGCTGTCTCTTTAATAAATCATCTGAGGCCGTGATCACATGAATAACAATAATCTGGATTATGCAGGGATTTCTCTGGTTTGCTTTCTTCACCTTTGCAGTCGCGTCTCAGGCGCCGCCACCTCCACAGAACGTCCAGGTGGAGAAGGGTCAGCTGACGTGGACTCCAGGGGAGCCGGACGTTACCTACACTGTGAATTACCGCAGGTGAGACCTCACAGCCAGGGAAGGTGCTCTGTTTTAAGGTGGAGCTTCCTTTTCCTTTAGTGATAATTAAAATGAACGAAAGAATTTCATCTCATGCTCCAAACTATACTGAAGATATCATTTTCTGGATTTAGGTCATCACTTTTACAGAAGACAAAACAACAAACAAACAAACAAACTGGATGGGTTAAATAAAACATTTTAATAAGCTAAAAACTACAGAAAGAAATTAAATAGAAATATTTTTAAAATAAAAGGAGCCCAGAACGTACCATTTGAATAATAATTTGAATTAAATAAACTACAGTAAAGATAAACATAGGTTAAAAAAAGAAAAAGAAAAAGAAAGCTAATAACAAGAAATAAAAGTAAAACTGAGAATAAAATCCATTCAAACAGAAAGCGGAAGGCCGACTGTGCCACATAACCACTTCTGTTTTTGAACAGTTTCAGAGGTTCATCGGTTTATCGATAAATCAGATCATTGACTGAGAATGAGTCTGCAGCTGTTATTCAATGCGGTTTTATTTATATAGCTTCAAATTAGAACAGAAAAAGTACGATCCTGCCCAGCAGGCAGCTTTGGAAATGTGAAGGAGGGCATACAGCTGTGTTTTTCAGATCATTAAACAAATTTAAATATCAGGCAAAGATAAGACAAAATGCAGTTTCTAAATGAAGGTGTTTATTATTAAGGGAAAAACTCCAACCCTACATGGCCCTGTGTGAAAAAGGGATTGTTGCTAAAACCTAGTAACTGGTTGGGCCACCCTTTGCAGCAACTGCTGCAATCAAGCAGCGCTGACCCACTCATCTTTGGACAGTTGATGTCATTCAGCCACATTCGAGGGTTTTCGAGAATGAACTGCCTCTTTGATGCCACAGCATCTCAGTCAGATTCAGGTTCAAACAAGGCCAGTAACCAGGTCTGATTACTAGCAATAGACTCAATACTTGAAATGTGCAATTCACTTGTATTTTTATTTTTTATTCCTATTTATTCTATTTATCCCCTTCGTATATTTTATTTATCTATCCACTTAGCACTTTTAATTCTTATTCTTATTTTTATATTTTTATGACAGTATGTTTGCACTGAAGCACCGCAGCAATTTCCTAATGTTGTAAACCTGCTCAACATTTGGCAATAAAACCCTTTCTGATTCTGATTCTGATTCTGATTTATATTGTCTCTGTATTTATATATATGTGTGTGTGTGTGTGTGTGTATATATATATATATAATATTCTGTAACTCTGTAACTTCTGTCGGTGCTGTGCTTTTTTGGAAATCGAATTTCCCAGAGGAACCCACCCGAGGGATTAATAAAGTTCTATCTAATCTAATCTAATCTAGCAGACCAGCTACCACAACTTGTACTTTAGCCTGACACATTTCTTTCTTACTATTTAAACCAATACAGTGGAACCCCGACTTAGGAAATTAATCCGTTCCCGAGGGTCTTTCGTAAGTCGAAAGCTTTCGTAAGTCAAAGCACCCATTGCGCGTTTTGAGTGAGGCGATGCTGAACGATATAGGCTACAGGCTAATTGCTAACTAGAACAACAATACGTCATTCAAGTGGAACAGCGAAGCGCAAGTACGGAAGCCAAGGGGTTGTCACATGATTCGGATGGCATTTTGTTACTTGGGCATTTTGCCGTAACACGGGCAGAAATATTGCCGTTCAGTGCCTTCGTAACTTAAATTTTTCGTGAAACGGGGTATTCGTAACTCGGGGTTCCACTGTGTAGTCGTGCTGATAGATTTCTTTCATTAGATACAGCAGCAATTCTTTATCATGTGGAACAATTGAGATGTACTTTGAAACTGCACTTCACACTGACTGAAAGGGTTGTTTCACTTGTCAGGCCTGCAAGGATCGAAGTGTAAACTGAGTTGGAAATCCCCGGCCTACAGGAAGCACGTTTACTGTATGAATTCAATGCTGTCCAGCCGAGAGATATAATCTCTCCAGCGTGTCCTGGGTCTGCTCCGGGGCCTCCTCCTGGTGGGACATGCCCAGAACACTTCACCCAGGAGGCGCCCAGGGGGCATCCTTGTCAGCTGCCCGAACCACCTCAACTGGCTCCTTTCGATGTGGAGCAGCAGCGGCTCTACTCTGAGCCCCTCCCGAATGGCCGAACTCCTCACCCTATCTCTAAGGGAGAGGCCAGCCACCCTTCGGAGGAAGCTCATTTCCGCCGCTTGTATCAGCGATCTTGTTCTTTCAGTCACTACCCACAGCTCGTGGCCGTAGGCAAGGGCAGGGGCCTAGATCGACTGGTAAATTGAGAACTTCGCTTTTACACTCAGCTCTCCCACAGCACCAATCCGTCTGTCGATCTCCCGCTCCCTTCTCCCATCACTCGTGAACAAGACCCCGAGATACTTAAACTCCTCCGCTTGGGGCAGGAACTTATCCCTGACCCGGAGTGAGCACTCCACCCTTTTCCGGCTGAGAACCATGGCCTCAGATTTAAAGGTGCTGATTCTCATTCCCAGCGTTTCGCACTGTGCTGCAAACTGTTGCAGTGCGAGCTGGAGGCCATCACCTGATGAAGCTCCAGAAATATTTGTTCAGTTCTCTTTCAAACCCCAGCAGCTGTCTATTGCAACTTTTGAGTGTCCACTAAAACAAAAACAAAAATAAACGCGTTCTAAAATCTCACCTGTTTGTTTTTATTAAGGCATACATGTACCTTATTTTTATAAATAGAGATTTCGCTATTGAGGTTAAACATGATATATAAGTCACTTAGATCACTTCGAAATGTTAATGTTTGGTTTATTTCAGTGTTTTATTTGTTCCTGAGTGTTGCATCTTCAAAAAATAAATTGTACAATTGTACAAATCGTGAGTCCATTCTCCAGTGCGTTCTCGACAAGTCCAGACTCGCCGGGAACGCACGGGAGCGTGGACTTGCTTACTTGAGAGTTGAGAAAGGGCCAAAGAGTGATTCAGAAGACCCGTATGAGAATATCACCAAGGGAACAGTTTACCCTGCCCAGGATAGGGTTACCGGGGCCCCGCCCTGGAGCCAGGCCAGGGGAGGGTGCCCGAGGGCAAGCATCTGGTGACCGAACCTTAGTCCATGGGGCCCGGCTGAGCACAACCTCGAAAAGGGGACAAGGGTACATCTGTCACCATCTTACAATGCTGTGATTGCAGCCATTCCCCAACTCTCTGTGAATGGGACTCATGGCCATTGATCAGTGTTTGTTGATCAATAATCTTGAGAATTTGCATAATTAAGATTAAGGAACTGACCTCCCAGCCCATTGTTCCTTCAGTGGGCTGGTTTCAGTCATTATGCAAATGTCCTGTTTATAAGATTGAAACCTGCAGTCAGCTGAGACTGAAGACGTCACCTGATGATGACGAAAAAGCTGGTGCCCTGTTGTAAAAGCTGTCCTTGAGTCAGTTTGTCTGGACCCTCAGCAGCCTGACTCTCCTGCCAGATGGCAGCAGCTTGAACGCCCGGTGTCCTGGGTGTGTGCAGTCCCGTAGGATGCTGCATGCCCTCTTGAGACAGCGAGTGCTGTACAGGTCAGGGAGGAAGTCCAGTGATTTTTTTTGTCTTTCTGTGTGCTATGGTGCAGCTGGAGAACCACACACAGATAGAAAAGTGTGTATAAGAGGGGGCTGAGGACACACCCCTGTGGGACGCCTACGTTCAGAATGAGGGTGGAGGAGGTGTGCTCTCCCATCCTGACGTTATGGGGTCTAACGCTCAGGAAGTCCAATATCCAGCTGCACAGTGAGCTGCTGAGTCCTAAGTTGCTTAGTTTATTAACCAGTTTGTGGGGTTGGACTGTATTGAAGGCGGAGCTGAAACAAACAGCATTCTCAGGTGTCACTACTGTACAGATGCAGGATGTCAGCACACTTTCAATGGAGCAGCAGTAGAAGCTCCTTCTTCAGGTCCATTTTTCTGAGGATTGTCAGAAAGTGGAGACACTGTTGGGTCTTCTTTACAACAGCCGAGGTGTTTGAGCACCATTGGAGGTCTGTGTCTATGTGCACACCCAGGAACTTGAAACTGGATACCCTTTCCACGCACTCCCCATTGATGCTGACAGGCTGCAGCTCAGACTTCCTCCTTCTGAAGTCGACTACCAGCTCTGTTGTCTTGGTGGTTTTGAGGTCCAGGTTGTTGTCGGCACACCAATCTGACAGCCTCTGAACCTCAGCTCTGTACGCCGTCTCCCCAGAGATGAGCCCCACCACGGTGGTATCATCTGCAAACTTGATGACTGCGTTGTCTGGGTGGGAACTAACACAGTCATGTGTGTACAGAGTTTACAGTAGGGGACTCAGTACACAGTCTTGTGGAGAGCCGATGTTAAGGCTGAGGGCTGAGGGAAGATGAGGCCCCACTCTAACTCTGTACACGGTCTGACAGGAAGTCTCTGATCTAGCAGGAGGTGGTAGAAGGAAGTCCGATATCCAGCAGTTTTACTGTTAGTCTCACCGGCAGTATGGTATTAAAACCAGAGCCAAAGTCAACAAAGAGCAGCCTGGTGTCACATCGCTGTTGTTCCAGGTGAGAGATGGTGGTGTGGAGCGTTGTAACAATGGCATCTTCAGTAGATCTGTTAGCTCTGTGTGCAAACTGGAGCAGGTTGAGTGTGGGTGGCATGCAGGACATGATGTGATGTCGGACCAGTTCTCGAAGCACTTCACGCCCTGCTGACTTAAATATTGTACTGGGTCCTGTGGTTGGTTGTTGTTGGGCTGGCAGCGGGAGAGCTGCATCTCTGTGTGTATTGTGAACGGCATCGTGTGTGTGCTAATAAAGCATGCTGCAAAGCATGTTAATGTCACCGGGTCTGCCGTGGTCATTCACGATCTCTAAAATTAGAAATATCCTGTCTCAGAGTGACGCTGAAAAACTAGTTCATGCATTTATTACTTCCAGGCTGGACGACTGTAAGTCATTATTATCAGGAAGTCCTGACAATGACCCTGGCTCTGCTGGAGGTTTCTTCCTGTTAAAGGGGAGTTTTTCCTTCCCACTGATGCCAAAGCGCAGGGTATTATGTAGGTCTTTACTTTACAATATAAAGCACCTTGAGGCAAATGTTGTTGTCATTTGTTGCTATATAAACAAAATTGAATTGAGTTGAATCGATTCGTTCATGTTAATGGAGAATCCTCTTCACACACTGGGGTGACTGGAGTTCCATGTAGGTCTGTCCCCAGTCAATCTGAGCAATTGGGGTAGAAGAGCCTTATTTAGGTAGATGACCAAGAATGTTGGTCACTCTGATATCGCTCCAGTGTTGCTTGTGGAGAAAGGACTACAATTTGTGCAGCATCCCACCAATCAGATCTGCATGGTGGAGTGATCAGACAGAAGTCACTCTTCCGTAAAAGATCCAAAGTTGTCGTAGGATTGTGGAGGGGTGTGCTTGGGCGCGGCTGCAGGGGAGGCTAAGACACACCGGAACTCCATTAGCTCGTCACGCCTCCCGTGAGTAAAAGAGTGTGCTGGGACCTGAGGTTGTGGTTGTGTGTAAGAAGGAGCACCTGAATAAAGAAAAGTGTGTAAGAGCGAACTACATGGTCGGGTCCGTCACAGTGGTGCTGAAACCCGGGAGGTGGCATGGCGGAACCTCGACCGGGCCAGCCAATGGACACGCTGGCCCGAATGGTGGTTGAGCTTGCAGCTACGTGAAGGGAGCAGGTGGTGGTGTCTCGCCGCCAGTTGAACGGCTGCAGGACCGTTCCGAGCTCCAGATGCAACTGATATTGAGTCTGGAAGCTTGGTTGGTTCCTGACGGACACCGCCGCCAGCCTGACCGGCGTTCCTAGACCGCATTGGGGAGGGAGACGACCCCCATGGTGTTGCAGATGTCCATGCACGAGAGGACCTGTTTTGCAAGCCAGCGGTCTGCATGCTATCTGGACCAGCTCATGCTGAGCCAGAGTCGCCCAGAACAGGGACCTGCCCAGGCTGAGTTGGAGGTCTGCGCGCCATCTGAACCTGCCACATTCATGTCAGAGGTCACCGTGCTGTCTGGTCCAAGCGGCGTCCTCGGCAGAGGCCAGCACCGTCTGAACCTGGATTGTTTACACCAGAGGTCAGCGTTTGTGGTCTAGCCTGCCGGCGGCCTGCCAAGCTGCATGTGAGACGCGGCTTACCTCCTCGACTGCTGCGCCGTCGCTGGACACACTCGGTCGCCCCGGACACAACTCATCCCTGCCGCTAGTCCATGGGCCACGGATGCACATGGCCATGGCCGATTGGGCTAGGCTGGATGGCTGCCCGACCTAGGTTGGGTGTGGCCTGGGCACGGCTGCAGGGGAGGCTGAGACACACCGGACCTCCATTAGCTCATAACGCCTTCAATGAATAAGAGCGTGCCGGCACCTGAGGTTGTGGTTGTGTGTGGGCTGCAGCTGGAAAGCTGCGACCGAGTGAGCGAACTATGTGATCTGTCATTCCTGTCGCAAGGATGAAAAATGAATTTGGAATAAAGCTGTAACATGAAAAATTGTAGAACAAGTGAAGTGTTGTCAAGACCTTTGAGGTGCATTGTGTTCATCCCGCTGTAACCATGTTTCTGTAACACAGAGCAAATTAATATATTGATAAATTACTAGCACATGTACCAGCAGCAACTTACTGCACTGTTCTTATTATTAAATATGTTGCTGATGGACAGTTGTCTGCTGTGCTGCAGTTCTCCACCCGCTGCAGGGATTTCATGGAGAGAACGCTGAGCAGATGTTTTCTCTGACTCGTTTCTGTTCCTCATCCTCAGATTAACTCTGATAAATGGGAAGCTCTTCCAGCCTGCATCCAGACGCCTTTCCATTCCTGCAACATATCAGCGGTTGGGCCGCGCGACACTAACGACTCGCCCGAGAACAGCTGCGTGACGCTGCGTGTGCGGGCCGAGAGACGGGGGCTGAGATCTGAGGGTGTTAACGCCTGCAGCAGATACGGTGAGAACCCTCAGATATGTGTCAGCGCTGTCTGTGGGTGAAGCTGTGAGACTCGAGGTGTTAACCATCCTGACCACAGTGTGAACCACGAGCTGCTGCTGTGCTGACGCTCGCTCTGCTCTTCCAGGTGACGTCTGCACGCCTCCGTTAAGCATTTTGACCCGGCCTGGATCACTCACCGTATTCCTTAACGATGACCCGAGCTGGCGAAGGAACACGACAGCAATGCCAAGCACATGATTTACTTTGGCAGAGAGGGAGAGAGTCCTCTGCAGGTGAGAACACGGAGTGATTCCTCCAGGTGTTTATGCTCACCTGATGTTACAGCACGTGTCACTGCTCAGAATATATCTGATATTTTTATTATTTTTTAAAGAAAGATGTGCACATGTGTCTGTCAGTGTGTGCAGGCAGGTCCAAGCATATTTGGACAGTTTGCCTCTGCACCAACAGACAGTCTGCACAAACTGTTTCAGAATTACAGCTATTTTTACACAGTTCCCATTTTCAGAGACTCAAAGTGACTGAGAAGCAGTTTCGTGTCCAGATGAATCCTGCGCCTTCATTTTAGAACTAAACTGAAGCCAGAGAGTCATGTGTCCGCCACTTCAGGCTGTTACTGACTGCAAGAGATTTTCAGCCACATTAAAAACTATATATATATATAATATATATATATATATATATATATATATATATATATATATATATATATATATATATATATATATAACACATATATAAAATTCAGTTAGTTTGTCCACTTACTTTTAATTGTTTTGGTTAAATTATTATTTCAGACATCAGCAGCAAAAACTAAACCTGCATGTTTAACAACTGGAATCGCTCAGAGAGTCCACATTTTAAAATTACAACAGGAGCCCAAGCAAAGTAAATATCAAGTAAATATCTTCTAATTTCATATTGTCAGGAGTATGAAGACACCATAGCCTCCATGACCATTGAAGACCTGGAGGAGGGGCAGCGGTACTGTGTTCAGGTGGCCTATACGGTCCACGGGGACCTCGTGGAACCACGCAGCTGCATCCAGTGTGAGGTCATCCCTGCATCAGGTAAGCTGCTCTTCTTGGTGTAACGTTCCTTTAACGCGCTCCGACTCCAACCAGAGACACAGATGTAAACGACTCCGCTGCTTTTGAATCAGCTGAAGGTTTTAAAGCTGCAGCAGTAAACTCACTGCGTCTGTTTTCTCAGAACACGTGAACAGGACGCCGATGATCGTGGGGCTGCTCGTCGGCATCGTGGTCCTCGCCATTCTTGCATTGGGATACCTCGGGTTTTTCCAAACTGAGAAAATCAAACGCTGCCTACACTAACCATGGTATGCCTCACCGGTAAGAAGCAACACTGCTGCACACACTCACCACACAGACACCAGTGGGTGCTGTATCCACTCCGAGCGTGTCAGCGGGGCACGTAAAAGAGCTGATTCGACAGTTTGAAAGCCTTCTACTCACGATTACTCAGTGTGTAAGACTGATGTGATTCTTCTTGGTGACTGGTGAGTCAATGAAATGTCCAATGGTGTTAAACACTGGAGAGTACCAGAGTTTACTCGAGAAAGAAAAGTCATTTTCTGTGGTAGAAAAACTTGTTTGACCTTGAATTTCCTGCCACATAACTGGTGGGAGTGTTACAACCAGCTCTGGTCGTCACGCCAGTTTGCTCGGCTTTTGGTTTGTCTTCCTATCAGACAGCGAGTCTCACATCTTTGTATTTACTAGGGGTGCAACGATACACAAAATTCACGGTTCGGTTCGGTTCGATACTTTGGTGTCACGGTTCGATATTTTTTCGATACAAAAAAAAAATGTTCATGCCTTTTTAATTTGTCATTTATTAAAATTATAAATATATATTTTAACACAAAAGTACAGTTTTTAAATTTAACCCTAACCCTTGTGCGTGTTGTTTTTAGCTCGTCATATTGCAGCCACAGAAATTCTTTTGTCCATGAAACCATAAAGCTGCACTTTCTTTTTGCCTTATAGTCTGATTTGTCATAACTTCTCCGTTTTGTGGTAAGCTTTTCTTTGGCTGTCACTTCTTCACCCTGACCTGTCTTATTTGGCTCAGCAGAACTAAAATATATATCTGTCTGTGAAGGTTCTCAATCATCCAGGTCATCGTAGTCAAATATATATCCTGCCGCACTCACATAAGCTCAGCGATTCTCTGCGCGATCAACCTCTCACATGTTTAAGCTGCGGGAGATTTCACTTGTCATGTTTGCATAGTAAGCTAACGATTAATAAGACGATGTCAGAGGAATTGGTGCACAAATTATCATCACTCACAGATCAGTGCTGTCGCTCTCTATACACAGTTCGCGCGATTGCAAAGTGAAAGCAAAAAAAAAAAGCGCAAATTCAAACACGATTTCAATATGTCACATATGACAGTGGCTCACCCAATGACATAATTACCCAGCTACATTTCTGAAAGAATGCAAAAGCATTGACATATATTTTTCCTTCCTACAATAGCCCGACAGGCAGGGGAGAGATAGCCCCGGGACGTCGGGCTAGCGATATTGCGAGCCCTGTATCTGATTGAGGAATCACTCATCTTTGGAAAAGAGAGTTTATTACAGAGAAATGTCTCTTTCCAAAATAAAAGCTATACTATCCGCTTCTTCTGGGCTATATTCTCAGCAGCATATTAAACATATCAGGTCCCCATAAGGAGAATCCTGTGCTAACAGCTGTCTAAATGACTCGGCTAAAGTTTGTAGCATGCATGCTTGTTTTTGTCTTTGCACTAGGATGATGTCGGTGTAAATGTGCTGTCATATTCGTTGTGTTCCCACTAGTGCTTTCAGGTTAATCTCGTTGAAATAACCTTAATGCCACAACACGGCAAATCTCCGTTAACGAGCTACCCTATACAGAGGGGCTAGACGGCCAACACGTTAATGAGCTAACTGCGCTAACACACTAGCTCCCACCCATGTAATTGAGCATTGCATGGCACATCCAACATACTGTTTTACTTTAGTCCATGACTCGCTTACCTTCAGGGTCATACGTCACATGAAAACCAAAATAATTCCAAACGCCAGATCTGAATGAGGGTGGGGAGGTCCACTTCTGTCTCGCTAGCTTGCCCTGCGCTCTTCCTTCTGACCATCCTGTCTGTGTTGAGCGCTCAGTGAATCTGCGTTCGACTACTCCGCCTAGGCTGCACTGTCGAGCCTAGGCGGAGTAGTCAAATGCAGATTCACTGAGCGCTCAACACAGACAGCATCGTCAGAAGGAAAGTTGATAAAATAAATTACAAATTTTGTATTGTTCTTTTTTTTTTCTCCCCTTTGGTTTTCTTTCTTTCTCTCCCCCTCTTTCTTTCATTCTTTCCCCCTGTCCTATCCCACAGTCATGTCTGTCCCGTTTGCAACTGAAAATAAAATAAATTCATAATTATAATAAAGGTCAATCAAATGGACCAATATGATGATCCACTTAAAATAAATCCTCTTGGCATCTTTCTTGGCCTCAAGACAACAATTCTGATGGCTATAGATCCAAACGGTACACAAAAAAAATAAAAATAAAAATAAAAAAATTGAAAAAAAAAAAAATTTGAAAAAATTGTATGTTCGATACATATGCGTACCGAACCGAAAGCACTGTATCGAACGGTTCAATATCGATACGAGTATCGTTGCACCCCTAGTATTTACCAACAAACACGTGACATTTCACATTTAACCAACAGAACGTGAGCGGCTGAAATCTCCCAGAGTGACACTTAGACATAAGATCGGTGTTTCACTCACACTGAAACTGACACAGAGTGAAGTGAAACACACAAACAGAACCATATTTACAACACTAGTTAACTTCTGGTAAATCGGCTCCAGTCATCACTCTTGCCTCCTGGGAACTCTCTCTATCACTTCCTCTTTGTCTTCTAACTGACACCCAACCTGTGGGCCACTGACAACATTCAGCATCAACTATTTGATTTCAAACTCATGATCCCGTCTGACCTTCTCTTCACCTCCACTGCTCACAAACACAAACGATTGCCCATCCTCCACTGGTCTTCCTGTTGACACCGCGGCACAACAGTTTGAATCCACCTCCAATGATCCTGCTCTTACTTCCCCTCTATCTGTACAACTCATAGTCCCTACATGCTTTAACTTCCTGCTCTCATGTCCACACTTCTGTCTTTCCTTCTCTCTCACTGCCTGCTAACATGCCTTCCCCCAAATCCACAAAACCCCACAACAAAGAAAAACAAAGAAAGGAAAACACTGAGCCACAAACTCTTCCACACTTTTAGAATTGACAAAGTTAATAACAGGCTAAAATTCTAACATGAAACTAAAACAGAGAGCATACTGAACCGGGAACCTTTCAGCATCCTCTGGGTTCAAAGGCACTATCAAGCTGAGCTAACCAGCAGTGCAGCACCAACATCACAGCTAAAAACACTCTGATTGGTTCTCTGCTTCTCAGTTTGACATTCACAAGAAATTGTGTTTCACATAGTAGTTTATGTGTTCCTCCTTAAAGAAGGAGCAGTTTTTACAAGCTGACCATTAAAGGTTTTAAAGCCCATGAGTTTGTCAGCGCTGAAGATGGTCAAGAGGAAAAGAAAACCAGAAAACCTGGGATCACGCCTCAGATATGGAACAATTCAAAATTGGGAACCGAAAGAAGGTAAGGTGCTTTACCACTGGGAAATAAGACAAGAAACACACAAATGACTGAACAAAAAAACAATCACAGCTAAAAGTGAAAATGAGTAAAAAAAAGGTAAAAACCTAAACAAAATAAATTAACATCACATTAAATCTTGTTCTATGGAAATGGCTGTGATAGACACACAGTGTTCAGTTCAGTTATTTGTGACAACAGCGCTCGTCTCAAGGCTCTGATATTGTAAGACTAAGACATAAGAGGCGGGAGACGTGAGCGTCCTCCGCCTGTGAAACTGTTTTGGGGGATGTGTCCTTGTTGCACCTGTTGTTAGTTTCATTAACACCAAAGCAGCTGAACCTGATTAACACCTCTGATACTGAACTAATCAGATCAATATCCCAAAGTTTCACTGACTTGATGTTGAACTGCTCCTCTATTTTGTAACATTTTCTGAGCAGCGTACACCAGACACACTAAAGGCTGCTGGTCACATTAACACTATAAACTGATGTTTTCTGCTTGTGTGATTACAGATGCAGTGAGAGTCGTGTTTCCCAGGCTGCTAATGGTGACATCCAGAAGCCTTCAGCAGGCAGCAGGTAGAGGACATTCAAGAAGCTGTGCTGCTGTCCAAGACGACGTCTTACTTCTTAAACCTAAACACACAAACTTCTCAAAACAGAGTCTGATGGAGGACTTTATTATGGCAGAGCTTGTGTGTTTCCTACAAACTGGACTATCAGATGAATGAGTTTTCGGATTATTTTCGTGGGCTGCTGGGATGTATGCGTGTGGACCGTGATGAGGGGAAAACAAGATTTCTGAAGTGACGTAATAGGATAGGTTAAAAAAGCTGATACTGGAGTCTGCTCAACTGCAGGAGGAGGACGTCTCCTGAGAAGCAGTTTAGAGGATTCTGACTCTTACAGTAACTTGTACTGTGTACTAGCTAGCATGACGGAGTTTCTATACAGTTGGGTGGGTGCTATGATGTTACTGGTGAACTTTATTTTATTCATATGGTTACTTAGTAGAGTTGCCAACCGTCCCCTAAAAAACGGAATCCTCTGGTATTCAGAATTAATATTACCGTTTCGTATTGAGCTGAAAATAAACGTGATTTGTCTTCAGCTACAATAAAAAAAAAAGACAAAAAGCTGGAGTTATTCTGTCTTTACGCTGTCAGATTGAACTGTTTCTGAGAGACTAATAACACCAGGATCCTTTTCTAAGTAGCTGACAGCTGGTAACTGTGCAGGGGCGGATCTAGAAAAGTGTTGCCAGGGGCCCAGGCAGGGCATTAACAGGGAAGGGGGGGCACAAAGATATACTTTTCTTTCTTATTCTCATTTAAAATGTCTCGCTTTTAACAAATAATTATCCGAATCTTACAACCAAAGTTTTCATCTGATGTCAAATTTATAGAAATCCATTATTGTACGTAGTACGTTTTTTTCAGGGTCCCACCATAATTTCTTTAGAAAAAAGTACTGTACATGATGCCAGTATTTTCCCACATTTTCCAGATACTGTACAAGTACTTTGTGTAAAATGCCATCAAAAACTCAGTTAAGTTTTATTCTTTCTCACCTGTCTTTCTGTCTCCTTTCACTTATAAAAGGTTGCCATGTTAGAAAAAATATTTTGCCCTGGCATGCTGTTTATTGATGTGGTAAATAAATAGTTTATGAAAATTATAAACTGTCAATTATTATTTTCAATATTCAGTAATGATCATGTCTCACCTCTAGTCTTCTCTGTCTTAATTTCAGGTTTCCACCATGTGTTGTAGATAGTTCAGGAGGTTAACTCGACCAAGCAGTCTTTGGGTTTCGGCTAAGTACTGTTTAGAATACCAGAATAGGGGGGATGGTGGAGGTTTAAGTTTATTAGACTGATACATATGTACCAACAAGACAGTGTACATCACTGTGACAACGACATTTGTTTTCATTCAAAGGCTATTTGGTTTTTCCTGTAATACCTGGTGGGCCGGTCTCTAGTCAAAATGCCCAGGCTGATTTTTTGTCCCAGTCCAGCCCTGCGGGGGGACACTGAGCAGAGTGTCTCAGTGTGAGGAAAGTGAGGAGCAGGAAATATAAACCCTGCCTTCCTTCGGCCATCACAGGGAACTTGAGGGTCTCTGGCTAATGAGATGGACAAGCTGTGGGCGCTGGTCAGACATCAGAGGGAGGATTGGAAGTTCACTGTGTTGTGCTTCACAGAGACATGGCCGGACCTCAGTGCCACAGTATCTGGCTTTTTCACTGTTCAGGCTGGAACATGTTACTGTGAAGGCTCTGCTCGCCAGACTCGTTACTGTAATAGGTCAAAAGAAACTAAGTTAAGCAGGTGGTGGGGGGATTCATGCAGGAACTGACTACCTCCATCTTCATGCCCATGCTGTCTGCTAGATGATGCACCCCACTAGCAACCCTCAGTAAAGTTCAATCAACAGCCACAGTTATTAACGGTAGCGCTCCTCTAATGATCTATGGCACGTGGAACTTTGCTAGGATTCACGTCAGTGGCCGGAGAAGGCCATGGAAAAAGACTCCCTCGAAGCTTTCTGGCCAACTTTCAGGGAACTCAGGAGGGTGCTTTCCCTCACTGTGTGTAGTACAGGTGAAGCACTGCTGGTTTCAACTCAGGATATTGTTGGGTGGTGGAAGAAATTCTTCGAGGACCGCCTTAAGTTTAGTGACATGTCTTCTGTAGAGGAAGCAGAGTCTCTGGACTCGTCCATCACTGGGGGCGAAGTCACTGAGGCAGTTAAAAAACTCCTTGGGAGTTGGGAAGAGTTCCAGCCTTAAATGGAGGAGTTTAAGTGTCTCCAGACCTTCAGGAGTGAGGCGAGAGGGGAGCAGGAGATCGACTGGTGCTGCAGCTGCAGTGATGTGGATACCAGTCTGTCGTGGTGAAGAGAGAGCTGAGTCCAAAACCAAAGCTCTCAATTTACCGGTCGATCTTTCTGGGCATGTCCCACATGCTGGAAGAGAAGGCCATGGACAGGGAGGTCTGAGCTTCTCTGCTTAGGCTGCTGCCCCTGCGACCCGGCCTAGGATAAGTGGAAGAACACGGATGGATGGATGACCTGAAAAGTAGGCGCCAGGGATCTGTTCATTTTTAAAGACTAGAATACTCAATAAGACTTAGACTTAGTTCCTCCTACGCCGGGCAGCGCATCGGGCAGCTAGTGATCTCCATCGATGTCGGTCAGCAGCAACTGCTTCAGCTTCGTCCCAGGCAATGTCGACAGTTCTCAGATCGTCCATGAATGTTCGACCCCATGTGGTCTTTGGTCGGCCTTGCTTTCGCTTGCCAGTGCGTGGACGCCATGTCATGGCAATCTTAGCTGGGCGATGAGGGGTAGGCGTAAAATATGGCCCGCAAAGCGGAAGCGCCTTTCTGCAACAACATCGGCTAATGGGCGGGTGCCTGCTCTTCGTAGGACCTCCTCATTTGTTATTCGGTCCCGGTAGGAAATTCTCAGGATTCGCCACAGGCCACGTTGTTGAAGCACATTCAGGTGTTGAATAATTGCACTTGTTGAGCACCAGGTTTCACTAGCGTAAAGTGCAGTAGGGAAGACGATAGAGTTTAGTAGTCTGATCTTGACCCTTACATTCAGGGAGGTCGAGTTCCAAATAGGTTGGAGATGTCGCAGGACACCAACTGCCTTCCCTACTCTGGCGTCGACATCCCGATCAGAGACCCCGTCATTCGAGATGATGCTGCCAAGATATGTAAAATTCTCCACCTCTTCAGCACGTTGTTGGCTGATCATGACAGGAATGCGGGCATGTGCATAGCCAACTCGGAGTACCTTGGTTTTTTTGGCGGTGAGTCATAATCCAACTTTCGTTGCCTCCCTCTGCAGGGCCGCGGTCAACTTTTGGAGGTCTTCCTGAGTCGAGCCCAGCAGGGCGATGTCATCTGCGAAGTCCAAGTCAGTGAGATTACGTGCTTCGTGCCAGGGCACACCGATGCCAGCTTGGTCAACTGATCGTCGCATGATGAAGTCAATTACCAACAGGAAGAGGAAAGGGGATAGCATGCATCCTTGTCGGACTTGTCTTGAAGAAATATGTGCAGCCGTCATCTGTCCGGACGCAGCAACGGGAGTTGGAGTAGAGACAACGAAAGGCATCTACAAACTGCTGAGGGACTCCATAGTGGCGTAGGATAGCCCATAGAGTCGGCCGGTGGACGCTGTCAAAAGCCTTCTCGAAGTCAATGAAATTAATAGAAATCTTCCTTTGGTATTCCAATGTTTGTTCAATGATCATGCGGAGGGTGAAGATTTGCTCGACGCATGACCGGCCACTCTGAAACCCAGCCTGCTCTTCTCGCAATCGTTCGTTCACTGCGTGTCGTAGCCGATTCAAAAGAGCGAGGCAAAACACTTTCCCGGGTACTGACAGCAACGTGATGCCCCGCCAGTTGTTACAGTCACCCAAATCACCTTTTTTTGGAAGTTTGATGATGGTGCCTTTTGTCCAATCATCGGGTACATGTGATGTTGACCAGCAGGCGTTTAGGAGTCTTGTAAGGGCGGCTTCAAGATGGGGTCCATCATGCTTCAGCATTTCGGCGAGGATTTCGTCCAGGCCTGCGGCCTTTCCACTCTTGAGGAGTCGGATGTGATGGTGATGGTGATGGTGATTTGTCCAATATCGACAGGAAGAAGATCCATGGAAGGTGCCAGGTCTTCGGCCTCGAACCGTTGGGGTGGCTCAGGTTGGTTCAGAGTATCGCGGAAGTGTTCGACCCATCGTTGGTCTTGTTCAGCTGCAGTAAGGAGGACATGTCCATTTTTGTCTTGGATTGGAACACCGCGGCCACCACGAGCCCCAGTTAGATCTCGTACAATGCGATATAAGGTTCGGGTATCGTTCCGATCGGCTGCTTCTTGGGCTTCGATGCCTTTAGCTTCGATCCATTCATGCTTTTCACGCCGGCAGCTGCGTTTGACCTGTCGGGCAAGGTCTTGGTAGGTGGCCATGGCCCTCTCACGCTGGTGAGTCAAAGGCCACCTGGTCCCGAACTGACTTTGCCAAGCGACGTTGATCTGTAAGTTCCCATGAACGGTCGGAGATCCAGCGCTCCTTAAAGCCTCCCCGTCGGTGACCAATCTTCAATTCTGCTGCACCGACCACAGCCTCTTTTAGCTCATCCCAGAGTGTATCTGGATTTTCGTTGTTAATTCCTTCTGCAGCAAGGAGCTGGAAGCGGTTTCTCAATTCGAGTTGAAATTCCGCTGCCGTATTTGCGTCTTTTAGGCGTTGAATGTTAAAAGGACTTGGCCACTGCAGTCGTGGTTGGAGGCGCTTCAGGTGAAGTTTACATTTGGCAATTAGCAGGTAGTGATCAGAGTCAATGTCGGCTCCACGCCACACTCTAACATCACTAATGGTGGATGCCCAGCGGGATGATATGCAGATGTAGTCGATCTCGCTTGTATATCCGCCACCGGGGGCCTTCCACGTCGCCTTGTGTATCCGATTGTGGCCGAAGAAGGTGTTCTTGATGGTCAGCCGGTTTGCCACACAGAACGAGATCAGCCGCCCACCGTTTTCATTTGTCATTGCTGCAATTCCAAACGGGCCGATAGCTGATTCCAGGCCGTCCCGGTTACTGCTTATTTACGCGTTGAAATCTCCGCCCACGATCAGCAAATCATGGATCCTGGAGCATCGCATAGAAACCATCTTGTCAGTATCGTCAGCCTCTTCTGTTGGAGCGTATACTTGAAGAATTGTGACTTTCACATGCCTAGCTTGGAAACGAGCCAAGATTAGGCGGTCTGAAATGGGCTTCCAGGCCAGCAATAATGTTGTTGCACGTTGCGAGAGGATGAAGCCCACGCCACGTGCATGGTCTTGGGCATGGCCAGAGTAGAGCACCATCTTTCCATCACTAACCATCTTCCCGCTTCCTGCCCATCGCATTTCTGAGATGCCCAAGATGTCCATATGGTACGAGTCAAATTCATATAGAAGCTGGGCCAATTTACCTGTTTGGTACAGAGTCCGTACATTCCATATTCCATAGTCGATAATGAAATTCACTTGCTGTTTCCGTAGCAGTTGGAGTTTTTACAGGGTGGGGTTGCTAGCCCCACGCCCAACCCTCCTCCTTTCTCATCCGGGCTTGGGACCGG